AGTATAAACCAGAACATAACGTTACAGGATAGGAACGTTACCATATCGGTGGCTAAAGTGTATTAGAGATTGCACTGTTCCACATAGCACTGTTACTTTCGCAAATACAACATGACACTTACCTGTCTATTCGGACGTTGAAAGGCTGTTGTGTGATTCTGCGCGTTATCTCCTGAGGAGTGTAGTGTTCTATGTCTCGGCGATTAGGTTCGAATATGTGGTAGAGTTCCCTCCATCTGGAAAAGCTTGAAATAAAATCGACGATTCGCTGTCACAATCCTGCTCTTTCCACAAATTAGTTACAATAGTGGGACTATGCTGGACAATAGTAGATATATAAAAAGAGAAGGGACGAGTGAAATATAATGAACAGGTCCGACATGCTTTCAACACAGAGTGACACTTACCTGAATGGGAGTTTTTGATCGGCAGCTAATCTGCCAAAAATCGTCACTGATGAGGTGGATTCCGTGAGCGGCAGCGAACCATGTAATGCCACTTCGGCCTAAATTAATTTCATTCATTAATAATTTATTTCATCTATTAGGAGAACCCTTGTCCGATTTGGTGTTTATCCTTACAGCTATTTAACAACCATATATATTTGATCATCGCTCTTATACTAATCTTCCCCAAAATGTGGCAGTGGATGCGAATGGAGGGCAGAAGAGGGGTAGGTAAGCGGCGCCGTTCATCGTTTGCACGGTGCAGGAATTAGATCCTGCATGGTACTCAGTCCCGGCTAACCAAGCTCTTGTTCCTTCCAGGGTTGTGTAATTGGTACCAGACCTGTGTCTCTCGGAGATGGGAAAAATGTGCACAGGCTGGCAAGGAAAAAGCGATCAAATGTCATCGGGATAGCTCATGCACCGAAGTGGACGGAGTTTGCCATGGAATTTGTATTCGGTTTCCAAAAGACCCAGAGATTGAAAAAAGTGTGTAGAGGCTGCTAAGGAAGAAAAGACCAAGTGGCAGTTGTGGGCGGGGCATGCGCCAAAGTGGGCAGAGTTCGATTAAAATTTCATGATTCGCTTCTTAGAGCCCCAGTAGTCGAGAAAAATCGACAGATCATATCGAGGGTGGGAGCTCACTGGAGCTCGTGATAGGATCAAGTGACAAGTACTTCTTCAGCAGTACTTTGCCAGCGATAAATAAAGCTGAGCGGTCTTATTTTGCTGCTGCTCAGTTGGACTATCAATGGATTCCTATCGACCACCTTCAAGACGAGGTAGAGACAGTAAGGCATTGCATTACAACAGATAACAATTGGCGGAAAACGCAAATATCTTCGCAGGAATGACATTTTTTCAGCTCCATATCGATATTTCTATGCCGAGATCGAACCTGACCAGCAATAGCCTTGTCTATTTTATTTTCATGAATTACACGCTCAGCTACCATAGCTTTGTTGAGGTACGCCGTCCACGAAAGTAATTCTTATTGGTTGCAAACCTAATAAAGACGAACGACATATTTTACGCCTCGCGGAAGTATGCGCGTGCGTAGAGAAGAAAAGACCGAGAAAAAATGGCACAGAACCTAAGAAGTAGGACCTCTTCTTCCCCTTGATTTGTGCATTGATGCAGCTCCCATCGGTGCTGCCCTTTCTCAACGCTAACGCTCTCTGCTAAACCCTAGAGGTCAGACAGCATGAGAGGGGCGTACCGCGCGATAGCGCCGCGAGGAGGGCCATGCTAAATCACCGAGGGCGTATCCTTCGCTGTGGATTGCGTGTCCCTTTATCTTTAAAGGAACCGCCTGTCTTCCACTAAATTTTCCCTTCTTCGGCTTTCGATGTTCAAGTACTCCTTTCAGCTAGGAGATTGATTACTATAGCATATCCCAGATTTCCTGTTATGGTCCTCAGTCAGACCCAGTTTCACCACTAACTCACAAGAGAAGAAGGTAGAAGTGGCTTTCTGAAATGAGATACATATCACCCGGTAAGTCTTCAGTCCTGTATGACCTCAAACCTGTATTCCAGATTCTTTAACATAGCAAAAGAGTTCTATTATGCATGGAGTTCCAAAGACGAAAATTCCTTGCCCGCAGGAGTAGTGCCCGTAGAATCGAAGATACCAGTAACCGTTCGGGCATTACTGCCCAAGGCTACTGCCATTTTTTCGATGTAGAGGTCGTATCGTGCGTTTGAGTCGTGGTAATACACGATGCTTCCGTCAGCCTCATAAACGCGCCCCACCGCATCAGGCCTGCACCCTAATTTGTCTAATGAGGTCTTCATTTTCAAGTTATTTTGCCAAGAAAATCATATTTTTTTGAAAGTTTCGTTTTACACTTTCTGATAGGACTTTCTGGCACGAATTTGCTTGACAGAGTCATCGAAATTTATTCCTCTCAAGCAGCGCCCAAAGTCCCGCCCAAGAATTGGTTGAATTGGTGCAACTATAAAGATCAAGCGAAATATGTACGTAATAAGAAGGATCCTGTTTGAGATGTTTTGGTGGATGGTGCTTTTTCCGCTGTACAACAATCCACCTGACACTTCTTGCATTTTCGAGGGCAAAAACCACACCATTGCAATCAAATGAAGGCCCTAGAGTTCCTCATATGGAGATTCGACTCTCCCTCGAAAAAAATTGTTCAGTGGGCAATTGCATTTTTGAGACTTTTGGACAAGAGGCCAAGACCAAATCTCGTCATGGTTGAAGCGAGCATATTCAAGCTTCATTTTTTCCCGAACCATTAGCTTGGTGTGTCTTTTTTCAGTACTTATGCCTAACGCAGTTTGGCGTCGCACACTATTTTGAGCACAGCACGGTCTCCTGATGATGTGGGACGCGGCGAAGATACCCTAAAATCTAGCTCAGCCCACCATTTCCAGTGAGCTCCCACC